AAAGGAATCTGGTAGAAATTGTTCCATCTAACCCCAAAGAAAGTTGGTCTGCCTTTGAGCTCAGCACAGATCTGGAGCTAAAGCTGTATCTTTTGTAACCCCTCAAAGTCTAAGCAAGCATTCCCCTCATCCAAGGCAGGGCCAGTTCTGGTTTGGGTTTTGTCTTTAATCAATTCTGCCTTGCTGTGTGAGCTCCCATCCCTGTGATGGAGATCTCTGTGGGGCTCTGCCCACTTTTATTTCCAGCAGAATAGGCCGCTATCACACACTCTACATGGGGACTATATTTAGTCAGGTCATAATTGCCCATTTTAAATGTATTACACCACAGTCTCCTCTGATGCCTTCCTTTACCTGTGGGTTAATCCAGCCCTGGATTTTTTGGGTTCCTTGACAGACAACCTTTGAGAAAAGGAGCAATGTACAACCAAAGCAGAGAGATAGGAACCAACAGGCTTGATGTTAAAACAAGAATCCTGCTGCTATCCTCAGGGAAGGGCCTTTCATTTCATATATCCCTATTTTCTCTTGCTCTGTCAAAATCTGAATTGATGAAAAGCAGCTGAGAGTCCTTGCCACCATGGCAGTTTTTCATCACTCTGCAAGATTCAGCTCAGTGTGAAGAAAGTATTCTTTTTCTTCCAGCTTCAGGCAGTTTGAAGCTTGAATATGAAAGAAAATGCAGCAAGTTTAACAAAGGGAAAGGAAATGCACATTTGCATGGCTTCATAGCCCCTAATTAGTTTTGTAATATTTATACAAGGCCTAAAAAGTATTCACAGATCCCTGTCTGTAAATATAAATGGATGTGGAAATGAAATCTTCCCTTTGAAATAAGAAAAACACATTCAAATTGAACAGAAATGTTCCCATTTAGGCGGCTGACTGATGGAAAATGAAGAGTTCATTTTAAAGAATAATATTCTAGATTTACAGAATCATAGAATATTCTGAGTTGGAAGGGACCCACAAAGATCATGGAGTCCAACTCTTAAAGTGAATGGCCCACACAGGGGATTGAATCCCTGACATTGGTGTTATCACCACAAAGTTTTCACCAACTGAGCTAATCTCAGGGTCAATATTTGCTGCCACTTTTCACTCAGGGTCACACAAGCAAACCCACATCTGGGAAAGGCTGCCTTCTGGCAAAGTCAGAGCTTAAGAACCCACACATTTTTCATAGAATAATTTTCCTTTAAAAAAAATCCAAGCAAACAAAACCTGGCTTTCCCAATGGACATCTCTAAAGCAGTATCATATCTTCTGGTCAGCTGGTTTTATGATCAATAGCTTTATAGCATAAAATGGTTAGCTTGCTAAGCCAAGTCCTTCGTGGAAGAGCACATTTTGGGCTAACATGCATCCAGGACATGTTTACACTTGCACATACAATTTTAATGCCCAGTATTAATGTAAGAAAAAATATTGTCAGCCTAGGTAAACCCGTGTATGCACTACAGCAGAGCAAGCAGCGTGGTTATACTGCCATCAAGTGGATAGGCATCCTACGCATTGCTGAATTGTAAATATCTTCCAGGAACAGTGAAGATAACTGTATTTCAGGGCTGTACTAAAAGTTTTGGAGTTTTTTAACACCATACTGAAAAATATCTGCATTCTCCAGCTGATAAATTATTCGTATGCAAATTACTGGGACAGATTTAACTATAAGCTCTCTCAGGATCTCTGGCAATCTTCAGTCGCCATAATAAGATAGGAAAAATCCGTTTGTACTTTCCTCAGATATATAACCATGTTCTGTTTAAAATCCCAGATTATATCAGATGTCTGGAAGTCCCAGTGGTAGCAAAAGGAGTTTGGAGTCCTTTCAAAGTGATAGTGAGAACAGGGCTCTAAGGAGCACAAGAAAGATTTTTCAATATCTACAGCTAATAGAAAATCATTAAAAAATGCCTATGAGCTGCTGCTGAAAAGCTAATTCACAGTCCAAAAGTTTAGCTCTAGTGAGTATGCTTTACTTCACACAATTTTTGGCTTCTTTGCAGCATTTTTTCTGGCATTCTTCAGCAAACTTTATCAAAACTTCTGTCTACAGAAATCCAGTTGCCAACTCCTACTGAGCAAAAAAAAAACGCAGCTCACTGAAACATGATGGTTCTCTTCTTAGTCTAAAAATGTTGATTAAATCGCTGTTCCAATTTTTCAGAATAGCTTCATGGAATTAAGGAATTCTATGTTTTTTAAAACATTTATTTCTCAGATAAGATAAATGAAATATATTTTAAGTTTTTAAAGGGAATTAATCTTATTTTTGTCTCCATTCACAAAGACATTTTCTATATGTATTAGTAAAATATGAACTATATTTTCTAGTGCTTTTTCTTCCAGTGCCCTTACTTAAAAAAAGAAATAAAAAAATTAAAAGTGGAGCTGTGGACAATACTCCCCTCTAGGGGCAGAAACAGAATTTGCAATATTTCATTCAGCAGCATGTAATTTATAAATTACATTAGTGAAATAAAACTAATAGGTCCTCCCAAGTGAAAGACAACCAGAATTATTAAGTCATTCCCAGCAGAGAACACTGCTGCTTATGAAATCTGTCTAAAGGACATGTTGTGTTTCTATATTCATGCAGAAGGGTTTTAATGCCACACATATACAGAAGCCCATTTATCAGATTTCCCTAGCAACATACATCCCATCAACTTCTGACCTAGACAACATATCATCAAACGCAATATGCGCAGAGTACATTTTTCTTTATAAGTAAACATGTGTGTCATGAAAACGTATGTCCTGACAAGTGCTAAAGCTGGAAGTTTGCTCAGCTGATCATACTTGGTATATTTGGAAGTGAAATAGGATGGAAGGTCAGCATCGGCTTGGCTGCTTTCCTCCTCTTCATTCAGGCAGCCAGATGCGAGGTTGCAAAAGCAATTCAGGCATCTCCGTCAATGACAGAGGGTCCAATCCTCCCTGCACATAATACTCCTACGTACAGTCTGGGAAGCTCGCAATTCCTCCTTGGAAACGAAGAGAATGCAGAGCTAACAGAGGGTTGTCTACACATCCACAGATCCTGAGAACTGAGTAAGCCTGATGGGAGCTAGAGGAAATGGGGCTGAAGCCCCAGTTTGGACTCAGTACCTTCACAGCACACTACCACTGAGACAAGTAGCTCTAAAAGCCCAGTGCTGCCTATCTTCTCAAGAAAAGCCATCCTAGGAAACTGCTGAGCTGTTACCTTCATCAGGACATGCCAAGGCAGCTGAAGGGGCTGGCTGCTTGTCACAATCATCTCTGTACAAGTTGGGAGGGGATTCTCAAGCCACCTCCTGGCACAGCATCGCTCATGCTGCTGAAACACCCATCATGAAAATCTACAGCCTCTAAAGGAGCACAGTTCCATGCACATTAGAAAAGCAGGCTCCTGACTCATGTTTAAGCAGACACTCTTTAAAGTTATTACTTGCAATAGCGGAAGGCAAGCTATTTTAAAAGTTTTGTGCTCCATTTCTTATCACATATGCCATAGTTGGCATAGTTGGTGGAAATTTTATTTCCACACACATGCACATCCACACACAATACTGCAAAATAGCAAAAGCTATGTTGAGCTTTGCCTCAATATCATACATGTGGCATCTGACAATATTCTGCCATTTTCACCCAGCAGACATCCATCAGGTTAAAGTCACCCATAAGAACAAGGGCTGGCGATTTTGAAACCTCTGCCAGCTGCTTGTAGAATAATTCATCACCCTCTTCATCCTGGTTGGGTGGTCTATAACAGACTCCCACCAGGATGTCAGCCTTGTTGGTCTTCCCTCTGATTCTGACCCATAAGCACTCAACCTTATCGTCACTGACCTCAAGGTCAAGAGACTCTCTAAAATACAGAGCTAGCCCTCCACCTCTCCTACCTTGCCTATCTCTTCCAAAGAGCTCCAGGTGCCTTTGTACAAAAGCATAATCTCCTTGAGCCCCAACAAATCTTAACCACAGGTCCTGTGAGTGAACTCGGGACTTGCCCTCCTGTTGTGTAGCAGCATGTGGTCCCACAGCAGGACACAGCACCAGCAGGAGTTCAGTTCTCCACTTGGTTGGGGTTGCCTACTGAAAACACCAGCATCTCAGCACCCAACTTCAGGCTCCTGAGCACTTTACTGGGTCTCAGGCACCACTCTGGGCTTGTATGTGAAAAGCTCTCAATAACAGTTTGTTGCTTGGTAGGTTTTTCCTTTCATCTCTTTTTCAAGTGTTATCCATATAACTATGCTCTTGGAGAAAACCGGGTTGAAGATAGACAGCAGTCTTAATTACTACAGGCTAATTACCTTTAATGAGCAAATTGCTATACAGTGATGTGGGATTTAGCCTGAGAAGAGCTTCACACAGTCTTCTAAAATCACCAATATTATATCTTCTATCTAGGTTATGCAATGATGAAGTTTGACAGTATCCTCTAATCAGATGAGAAGCATGATCCTGAAGATCTGAGACACCAATATAATGTCTCAGTTTTGTTTTCAGGATAATACTTGCTAAAGCAGCTTCACAGTGCTGCTAGCTTATTTCATTTATCCCTATGATCATTTGCCTTTTAGTACTATTGGTGAAACGAAAAAAAAATAACAAAAGCTCCAACGGTTCAAGATGTACTGCCCCAGAACAAAGTCTCGGTTTCTGGTCTTGGAGACTGTTCTCCTGCAGTCTGCACTATAGCTGCAAATACAAACAGTAAGAGAGAACAGATCTTCATAAAAAAGCTGAACTGAATCATCAAATCTGTTGAGAATATGCCTTCGATTTAATCAAAGGAAATATTTAAGCACTAGCAGTATTCAGAAGCTACAAATTAATTGGTATTTGTAGGCAGCGATTATGTTCTCCATTTTTCTTGATATTCATGTAAATATGTGTGAAAGATTGGTTGCCCAGTTCTAATAGGAGTGGAGAAAGTGATGCTCCCCACAGGTACTTGCAGGGTTAATTGGGAATCAGCATCACAAGAAATCAATCCTGGTTATTACCTCATGGTATACAGCAGAGTGCCGTCATCCTCCAGGCGCAGAAGTTTGTTTGGGGTTGTCATGTTGTGAGCAATAGACTTCTTGCCATTGTGGAAGAAAGTGTCTGGGGTCCAAATCTTGCTGGCAAGCAGGTTGTTAAGAGGGAGGCGTTGCATAGGTCCTTTGAATCGCAGCCTTTCATCCTTCCAGCTTTGTCGGAAAAAAACATCAATGGTGTATTCCTGGAAAAAAAGAAACAATCAAGGTATTGCAGGATCTGAATAGAAGCAATAGTTCCAAAAATGACTTTAGCAAAGTAAATACAACAGACTTGGCAGCCACATGCTAACTTACCATTTCTGTGTCTGACACAGGACCAAAACTGGTAACATAGATGTCTGTTTTCACCTGAGTTATTCTCTCTGTAATAAATATGGGGTTTGCATTAGTAATTATTTTAAGATGGAAATACATACTTGTGATGCATTTATCTATTAAAAATTTCCGAATCACTCAAAAATTCCCATAAGCTTGAAATTAAGAGGATGCTTGAGGAGACATTTCATCCCTGATCAAATGCAGGGAGTCCAGACTCTGTTCTTATAATCAGAAAGAAACAAGACTTTCAAGGGTGCAATTCCTCTGACTGACAGGCTTCTATAGATCATAGAAATGCAGAATCATTTGGGTTGGAAGGGACCTTAAAGATGTTCTTGTTTGAACTGCCCTGCCATGGGCAGGGACACCTTCGACTAGATCAGGTTGCTCAAAGACCCATCCAGCCTGGCCTTGAATGCTTGAATGATGGAGCATCCACAACTTCTCTGGGCAGGCTGTACCAGTGCCTCACCACTCTCACAGTGAAAATTTCTTCCAAATACTGAATCTATATCTTCCCTCTTCCAGTTTAAAACTGTTACACATTTGTCCTATCACTACACTCTCCGATAAAGGGCCCCTTTGCATCTTTCCTCTAAGCTCCTTTAAGCACTTGAAGGCTTTCATAAGGTCTGCCCAGAGTATTCTCTTCTCCAGGCTGAACAACCCCAACTCTCTCAGCCTGTCTTCACAGGAAAGTTGCTCCAGCCCTCTGATCATCTTGGTAACCTTCTCTGGACTCACTCCAAGAGGTCCATGTCCTTCTTATGCTGGGACCCCAGAACTGGACATGGTACTCACAAAAGCAGAGGAGCAGAATCACCTCCTTCAACCTGCTGGCCACCCTTGTTCTGATGGATCCCACCATGCAATTGGTTTTCTGGGCTGTGAGCACACATTGCCGGCACTTACTCAATTCCTACTATAGGATGAGATGAAGTATATCTTGGAAGGACCTATTCCCCTCTGCTGGCTTGGGTGATCTGCCCAATTTCAGACATCTATATTAGAGATGTCCAAAATTAGGTGAAATTACTTTTGCCCTCAAGTTTCTAAATCTTTCTGGCATCTTTTCAAATCTGGTACTAATTTAATTTAGGGGCAGAAATTTCAGAAGTTCGTTATATAAGATAAGAGCATCGAGCCCTATTTTCAAGCATCTCTGTGTAAAGTGAGATGAGAAGGAGAGAAAGGGATGAAAGCAATGTGTTGGTCTCACAAGAGGAAGGGGTGGGGGTAGCCAGATTAAAAAAGGGCCAGGAAGAAACATAACAGATGGTTTACACATGGGTAGAAGATGAGAGAAATCTGGGGGATAGAGAGCTGAAGGAGGGCTCAACAAGGTTAGGATGGCAACCTATTCACATGCTATTCACAACTATTCACAACCATTCACATGCTATGGTTTTAAAATAGCTGCTGTAGAGGTTATCAAAATGACATATCAATACAGATTTTCTGTAGTTGTCTAAAAACGAATGGTTTAGGGATCTGTTTTTGAAATAGATATGTGTCACCAGCATAATTTTATGTAGGCTGACCAGTAAGGGAACCTTGCAGCAACCTGCTAGCATATTGTCTTGCTCATCTTAGGAAGTACCAGAAAGAAAAACCCAAACTGTATGCAACTACAGAAAAAATGTATCACAGATGCTCTCCTAGCCCAACCTCAGATGACCTCAGTGACTGAAAGAAGACAACTTTCAGTGATTTTTTTTATTGTGGCCCATTTGCTAGGAGACAAATCTACTTTCTGGACTTAGTTTAGTTAATCAAACACAACTCCCTCATCAAGGCCAAGAGCAAGTACCCATCTGAAAGGGCATCACATAGATGATGGTCCCGTATAGCAGGGGACCGGCCACAGCCAATGCGTTATCCTACCTCCCAGTCCTGGGCGCAGTCGGTTGTCGTAGCCGTCCAGCAAACCATCCAAGATCCTGGTGAATATAGTGATGTTATCATTGGTGTCCTCTTTTCCTGACGCTGTTGGCGTTTGTGAGAAGCTATTTTATGCAAACGAAAGAAAACATGTCAAAAGCCATGCTGGTTTCAAGGGGCTTCAGCCTCGAGGGAACTTCGCAATGGAGCCACTGAGCCTCTGTCCTCTCCTGCTGCTCCAGCTGAGTAGCACAGGGAGCTGTGGTGATTTCATATAAGAAATCCTAAATAGCTCTCCCTGGAGAAAGATTCGAAAAAGGATCCATGCCATGGAGCTACAACCCTGGGGTGCTGGATCAGGAGACACCTGAGCCCTTTGACCCTCTGTCCATAATGCACAGGTCCCCCATGCTGCCTTGTCCACCATTTCCCAAGTGCTGGCATTTCTCCATCACCTGGAGGGAGCGAGATCAGCTCAAGGGGCCAGTAAAAGCTGTTACTGGTTTTCACCAGGTTAGCCCTCCATTTTTTAGGAACTATACCAGCTGACAGTGGAGCTGCATGAGCAGCATGAGTTTGCCCTGGGGATGCACCTTCAAGTCTGCCTGAAGGTACTGTCTAATCTTTAAATGCCAAACAGCTTTTAATTTTCAAAATTTATGTAATTTATTGCCAGAACAAAGGATGAACTCTAACCTTATTTGAGGATAACAAACTCCCACTACATTCAGAAATCCCACTGGGGTACTACTGGGGTATCTGAAAAACATACTGCTGTATAGAAAACACAGTTCTTCACTCCTCCTCTTTCTTTTGCATAAATTAGTTCTCCCTTGTAGTATGCAAATAACAGCACTGTGTAGTGGGCCACATTTCATATCTTTTGGGCCAGATTTGTTTTTAATTTGAACGCTTTTTTATTTCATCATTTTATCCGTGGCTCAGACCTAGGAAGCTGCTCACAGCTCACAGCACAACTAAAACTTGCATTTTTAAATCTGTTTGATTTTCATTTAAAGATGCTTAGGAGAATCCCCTGCCTACTAATGCCTTTGCTTACCTAAAGAATAGACATGGGAGATTATCCATAAGCATGCTTCACCCACAGAAGCAATGAACGTTTCTTAAGACAGCGAGTTTCCTCACACTTGGTGCTTATTCAAGATTCAGCCTCTGCTGAAATCACCAACAAATTTTCCAGCTGTGAAAGGGCACAAAGGCCCACTAGGAACCATATACTCTGCCTCATGCCCACTGTCAGCACATAGGAATTGCTTATGCTCCAGCAACCTGAACTTGATGCCAGACAGTCATCAGGAGACAGTAAATAAATAAATAAATAAATAAATAAAATCCATGTTTATTTATTACCAGTCCCCAGGGAAATAAATCAGTAAATAAATAGAGAAGCTCAGAGCATGTCTTACAGAATGGTTGCAACATATGTGTTTGGCTTACCTAGCAGAACAGGATTCATACAAAGAAAGAAGGGACCTCAACTTGGTTTTACCTGCACAAGGTTTCCACTAACGGGACCTCACTGACATCCATGTAATGGATCTGGAAGTTTTAGTGACAACGGACCTGGCTCAGAACAAGCTGCTCTTGGACACATATCCTCTCACAGACACGGGGACCCCCAGTCTTTGATAGTTTATGGGCTTCTGCTGAAAACAGAAAGGATTGCAAAGCCTCTCAGAACAGGGGAGTAAGGCCAGGCAGTGGGAGCACAGGTCCAATTCCCTGAAACACCAAAGCCCATGCAATGCCTGGTTGAGGATGTTCCTTGCGGTCTGAGCGCAGTTGGCACTGCTGCAACCCTAATGAGATCCACACTGCAGAGCCCAAGGCCATCAAGGATCTCCCCTTCACTGCAGGTGGAGGCATAGCCACAGATCTTGACCATTTTTCAGGCCATTCATCTCTCCATAGTCAAAAGACCAAATTAATTCTGTTTTCTATGCTGTGACCACAACCTCCAGTGAGCAACTGAGGCAGAAAAGATCATGGACATGTTTGACTTTAACAAAAAACAGTTAATCCAGCACAGCACACTGATTACATAAACATTAGCCATCCCTGCATGCTGGACCATTCAAGATAAAAGACTGTACACCTTTTTGTCAACTGTAATCAAAGGGATTCACCACATAAAAGTGAATATTTACAAGTAGTAGCCTAACAAACACAAAGGAATTCAAACAGGAGACAGACGTTACAGATGTTCTTTACATGCAGCGACCATAACTAAATACTTTGATAAAATCCTAGCACAAACCACAAAAATCCAATATATCTAGAATACTATTTTCAACTTTTCTCATCTATTTTATCTTCTTTTTTTCATAAGAAAGAGATATGCATCATGCTGTCTGCCTGCTACACCGTATCAGCGTAGGAACCCATTTTCATTTTCCACTGCGTCTGACAAAGGAGTGGAGAGATCAAACTTCATTTCATTCCTACAAGTTTCATGAGAAGCTGTGACTAGACAAGGGGAGAGCAATCTAAATTAGCGTCTCATTAAGTAAAAATGTAAGGTTAGCAGTCATCTATTCCCTCTGGCTTGCTGACTGGGCCATTCAGCATACATGTAGGTCAGAAACAGCCTCAGCAAGATCAGCTCCCCTCCTCTCTGATAATTAAGAGAGATGGAGGAGACTTCCAGGGTGATTAGGAAAGATCCTGGGAGAAAAGGACAGCAGAGGTAAAATGTAGGTGTTGCAATGCGAGATGAGAACAAGGGATGCCAAATGTGGAGCTGGGATTATTGCAAAGATATGGTGCTGGGGGCACAGGACACAAAGGTTCACTCGTTTTTCTGCTCTTGAAAAATCCTGTTATTTTTAGTGCTTATGGCTGAATTCAAAGCCAGCTGAACTCAGAGGGAAGATTTCCACTGAACTATTTTTGTGGGGATAGGACAAAATACACTTAGTTCTCATAACTGCTCCTCTGAATCTAACAAGAGTAATTGATGCTGCTTCCTTCTATCTCAGCTATGTACATCTCCTACAAGAATAGTACACACACCCCATATACTGAAATACTTCTGTATCTCCACAAGAAAAGCTAATTAATAGAGGAAAAAGATGGAGAATCAACTACAGTGAAGATTTACAAAAAGTCTCCACTTCTGCTAAACTGCAATCCAAATTTGATTTGGCAGATCGCTTCACCCATAAAAAAGGCACCTGATGCTAAATTTCAGTGAAATGTCAGTATGATGGGAAGCTGCATTTGTTAGTATTTAATTTCTGTTATTGAGATTGCTGGTGAAATGCATATTTTGGAGTAAGGTCTGAGATTGTCTGTTATGACGCAAGACATTTATAGTACTTGCAAAGTCACATACATACATTAGATACTATATAGCTCTAAGAATAGAGAGAAAACAGGTGCTACCCTTAACTAATTATTTTCACACAGCTAAAGATTTAGTTTTATCAACATATTACTACGTAAGCACATTATTGCCTCTCTGCAGCAAAAAATGTTTTTATAGCAGAAATTTTCAGTATGGATAAAAATAAACCTAGAAAAAAACCTTAGGAAAATGCTAAGAAAATTCAGAGATAATTGCATTTAAAGCTCATTATTGAACATAAACTAAATCAACCAGGAATACTTCTCATCACATTTATTTAATATTGCAATTCAGGATAACTGAAAAAATAAGAAGCCACAGAAGGGGCCCATGAGTGTAAAACATAATAACTCTCTAAATATGCTCAGCTACCTCTTCTGATGAGTACATCATTTACCATTTTAAACGTTACTGTCATCCAGTCAAAATCATAACAGGTACTATTCGTAGCTTCATTGTACTAAGAGGAAAATGCATAGTAGATATTAAATGATTTTTCCCAAAACCTCTTTTAAAAAAAGGGTAAGAAATGCTGAAAAAATAACTGAAGAGTATTTTGCTACTGAAAGATGTAATTTTTTTCTCTCTCTCTTAAGAGAAGCATTTCCAATAACTTGCCTTCATAGGATTGCAATTACACCTGAATTTCAGACAAATTAACAGTTTGTGGGAAAGACAGTGGAAAATATACTTGCAAACTTTTGGATACTGACACTGGCCAGACATCAGAGGAAACAGATTTACTTTTCTAAGTTAGTCTCTTGCTACCCCTTTCTTATAGAATCTTGAGATCTAAAAATGTTGATGTTTTGTGAATTTGTGCAATGAAGATTCAATTCTTTCACATGGGATTTAAACAGAGGAGAGGACTGACTGAAATGATGAAGCTTTAATATTATTTTCATATTTTTAAAGAATAATTCGTTTATTTAGAAAGATCAGTATTTTACCACTTTCTGGGAAGGAGCAATTTGTGAGCAGTGCAATGAAAGCCTGTTTTTTATAGAGTGACATCTTACAGTCCTCACCCCCTTGCAACTTAATGTCCCTTTCAGTGTCCTGAATTTCTTCCAGGGTCATTAAACACCTCCCAGTACTCTCATCTCTCCAGGTCACTGACCTGTAACTTCACTGGGATGCATTGCATGCCAGGGCTTCTCCTAAACTAAGTACATGCTGGCTGGACGGCAGGTACATGCCTGCTATTTGGCCAGCTGGCTGACCAGAGATGCTGAAGCCGTAGCCTGCTGTTCAGCAGTGGGATTGACTGATGGTTGTCTGACTCCTCCAAGAAGTTCTAGATACCCACTTAGTTTTCCAGTTACTAAAATTGTCTAATGGGTTTAAAAAGGTATCTGGAGATATGGAGAAGGAAAGGAAAACAGAATAAAAAAAAAATAAACAGACAAGCATGACTGCATAAGATATGATAATTCTTACAAAATTAGTCTTTAAAAATATGAGGAAGAACTCCCAAGCATCACAAGTACTTGGAAAGGGATATCCCTGCAGAATTAACTGCTTAGGGCTGCAGAGACTAACTTGAAATAACGGTCTAAAGGAGAGGTATGTTCTGCCTAAATAGTAGGATTATAGTCTTAGTGATAAGGGCTGTGAGCTAGAGAAGAAGTATGTGAAACTACAGACACATTACGGACTGAATTCTTAAGAGTGTACAGAGAAATACTGGGTTGGCTACATATAATTGGGATCTTCTGTTCTCTGTGTTTCTACTATTATAAATATTATTAGCAGATGGCAACTAAACTGTGGGTACATGAACAACGTCCGTCCCTGTTGGTTTTGGCTTTCAGACAGATTTCTGAAATTGTATGTCCAAAACAGGACTGTGGATCACCAACGTGTCCCCAGAGATGTGCCCATGGACGGTCTGGGACTTGTGCAATAAAAGCCAGGACACAGTAAGACTGGCCAGCATGAAGCTGAACACAGGCTACCTTGTCTCACACAAATCTGCGTGCAAACAGCCACTCATGGCTCCAACCCTCACAGGGCTGCCAACACCTGGCCTCCTCGAGGGCCCACAAGGAATCAGTCTCTTGTCTTACCTGAAAACACTCTTGATGGTTATATTTGACTTTTAGTCATTCTCTAGCCTTATTATTAATGTTAAGTTTCAAGACAATTGTGAACTATCTTGGAATGCTTAAGTAAAATAAGTTGCTAGAACATTATACAACTCAAGGCTGAACTCAAGCAAGCTTGAAAAAGCTTTGACTCATGCTGGACCGTTTCTGCAGATGTAAACTCATAAAACTGTTATACCAACAACAGAGCGAGAGGCGGGGAAGACTTCACATCCTCTTCTCAGTTCATCTACATCTTTGAATTTTAATTAATTCACTGATTTTTCTTTAAATAACTTCTACCAACTCTGTCTACAGTCCTTCTCTACTGCGTATTAGTGTGGATAATTCTCCATAGTCATTACACATTTATGTTAAACATTAATCACAGACTTTTGTAGAGATTTATCAAGTAGCCTAGGAGATTGAGATATGTAATTTCTGTTTATTTAACCAGGCATTGTGCATCAAAATCCCCCAAGGTGGCTTTAACTATGTTAGTAAAAACTGTATTTATGATTTAATATAAATATGGAATGACTATGGAGAACTGTAGAAAAATCTCTGCTTCATCTGTAATGCCCTCCTGTATTTTGGTTTTTAATTTGTGCTCTTTCAACCAATCACTTTTATCAAGCATATTGCAAAACACACTGCAATATAACAGCACAGTACAAACATGGATGAAGCTAATAAAGAAGAACCTGCTATCAACAGCAAGTGTTATCAGTATTAGATTCCTGCAGTTAATACAGCAGCCTACATGTTAATTGTACCGTTCTGTCCTGAAGAGTCAGTCCCAAAGCACTTAGCAAATTACACTCTGAAACTGCTTCTGCCTCTGAAACAGAAGCACTGGAGCATCCTCTGTCTTTTGAGCAGGGTCAAAATTCAGCCCTAAGGCACTGTGTGAATGGTGCAGTGAATTGGAGCTGCTTATCTCTACAGGCCTGGACTAAAATTACTAGATTAGAAATGGGGGGCAAGGAGGGTGGGGGGAACTTATGTGATGATCTCATTTTAGTGCATAGAAGCTTTTTGACTAACTCACAAAAAACAAATGTCCTAGTTTCATCTAACTGTCCTGTTTTGATTATCTGCCAGGTTACACGTTATACTGATTCCTACCTGGGACCTTCATTCAGTATTTTCTTTGGAGTCGAAAGGGACAGTTAAACCCTCAGGCTTTTGGGTTGTTTTTAGGTTTGGATTTATTTTTATTTTTTTTACAGCCTTACCTATCTATTCTACTGTTAGAGAAGAAACACAGTTAAAAGACCCCCCCATACCAAACAGGTCATGCTCAACTATTGCAACGTGCTGCCTTCTGCAGGGACGATGAACAGTCCAGAAGGACTTAAGGTTATAGTCATCAAGATTTTCTTATTTTGAAAATACTTTGTCGAATTACAACAATGTAAAGACAAGTTTAAAACCACTCCCACGCTATCTATGCCCTCTTCATTTCTATCACAAAGTCCTGGGAGAGTTTTCCCTTAGACCACAGTGAAAGCAGGATCAAGTTTTTTCAAGGTGGATAAATGAGTGCACAACTCTTTGCATCCTTTGTAGAGTGCAGTCCTACAATTTTTCCTATAAACCACTGTGTACACAGGACATGTGCTGGAGACCAGGCTAAGTTTTGCTTACAGCGTGGACAGTCATCACTCGGTTTGGTCTTACTCCTAGTTCCAATCTGGAACAAGTCACTTTGCTTGAAATCAGAAACTGATTTGCATCTCCATTTTGTGTCTTCTTATAGCAAGGAATTGATGGGTGTGCTTGTGAATCAGAATGTTGGGAGGATTCATTTTTTCTCTGGTGAAATCATAAATAATTGTTCTCCTCCACAAAGAAGAATCAACCTACGTTTCCCGAGTACTTGCAAAACACTTTTTCCAGATTCCATTACATAGCTCAATTTTGGAAAGTTCTTAATATCTCTGGGTATAGGAAAAACATATAAATAGAGGGTTTCTGACATTATTTTTCATTTTCTAAGAGCTATAGTTGCAGTATTTTTTTGATACAGCTTTCAGAATATCACTGTCAGGGAAGCACCCAAAGCAAAAATAAGAAAACAGGATTCCTTGCTATATGCTTCAGGGAAACACAATTTCTAATTATTCTAACAAGTTTCAAACTCAGACATCCTTTCTGAACAGTCACTGTCTTAGCTTAATCACCAGAAAAGCCTGTACCAGCTAGTAGCATGCACCGAGTCCCACTGTTGCAGTCTTGCACTACCGCCTATAACCTGCATCCATCAGGCAAGAGGGAAGGTGCAAGACCCTTGCATCACAGATACAGAAGCAGGGAGCACCACAGCCCCTGGCTGTGCTAAACCCAGGTCAGAGCACTCAGCATCTGTAGGCCTGGTCTGTGCCCTTTGTGCCCTCCAAGCCTTCCCGCAACAGCATGAAGAACTGACACAAGAGAGCAAATCTGAACAGGAGCGTAAATCACTCCCTTCCCCCTGACACCAGCATATTAAGATGAAATGCAAAGCCTGGTTGTTTGGTTCAGCTGCTCCACACCACACAGAGACATAGTTTTTCATTTACTTAAAAAACCCACAGCAAAAATTCAAACACAGTTGGCAACTCACCCAAAGTGGCTGGCTAAACTAATGGAAACGCAGAAGAGGAAGAAGTTTTTGATCATGATAAAGTCAGAGACCATCCCATTGTCCATTCCAGAGGAGAAAAGGAATGCAGGTGGTTGCTTTGGTGAAGGTGCAGCTGTTCACCTTGTTCTTATGCTGCAACAATACAAAAAAATTTGAAAATGATTGCACGGACAAAAAGCGGGATAGCTGAGTTCAGCTAACACCGAATCTTCTGCTATCTGCGTTTCTCACAAACTTATCTAGGCTTATGTAAACATCAGCTGTTTATGTAAAGTTGTATGTCTTCAAGGACATGTTTTACCTTCTGCTGACAGCAAACTGCAAAACAGGAAAAATTCTTTGTGGCCCAGTTTTCCCTTATATTCATCTGTTGTATAAGTAACTAAAGAAAAAGTCACCATTTTCCAAATGCCAATTTCAACCCTTTACCTATTTCAACAACTTCCACATGCCTGCAAACCCAGGGCTGTGTGCAGCCTCCGCATCCTTTGCTTTCATCGCAATTTTTTCCCATTAAATACCCGGCTTCCCTTTCCAAAATCCCAGTTGAAATGCCAAGAAACACCTACTGCTTCTTGGAATTCATGCTGCTGATGCACAGCTTAGCAAAAGAAGGGTGGGTTGCTGGGGGTGGGGGGAGAGGGTAAAAAGTGACCTTCCCCTCAAAGGCACATAAACCTCACGCTAGCACGAAGAATGACAGTAATGTAGCTTCTCCAGTGAATGCCGCTTTCTGGATACCTGCCTCAGCGACCAGATCACCAATTTCAGCATTGTGCACTAACGTTTTCCTCTGTGCCCTATTAAAAACAAAACAAACAAAAAAAAACCAAACAAAAAACCCCAAAACCACAACAACCCGCCTCCCCAAATAAACACCAAAACAAAGCCCAAACACACAAACAAAGGAAACACTGAAAACCCAACAAAAAAACCCCAAAACAGACCCCAAAAACACACCTTGAGGGGAATTGGCTGGATTTTCCACCTGAACCCTGTGCCCCCGCGCTATATCGCTCAACAACTTACTCTCCCACCCCGCCGGCAAGCCAAGACACCCGAACCAAAAGCCGTCCCCGGGACTTCCCCCCGCCGGCCCGCGCTGCCGCAGCGGGTCCCGCTATCCTGCGCCGCTCCCCTACCGGGCACTGCGGGGCCGCCGCTCCCTTCCGAGCGCCCCGCAGCCCTGGCCCGCCCGCACCTGTCCGGGGACCGCCGCTCACTCGCCGCCGCCGCCCCGGCACTGCGCCCCGGGCGCCGCGCACACGCTCCGCAGGGCTCCGCGGACGGGGACACCTGCCCCGCCCGCCCCGCCGCCCCTGTCCCTCTTCCCTCCCAAGCGCCGGACGGCCTCGGGCTCGCTCCCGCCCCTCCCGCCGGCCGAAGTTTCCCGCGGCCATGTGCGCGCGGTGTCCGCCCCGGGGGTCCGCGGCCGGGGCCCCTCCGCCCTCCGTCCGCCCGGCCGGGCGCGGAGCCCGGCGCTTACCAGCCGCCGGCGGGGGACGAGGGCGAGGGGCGTGGTTTGCCTGAAAGTTGCGGACGGCAGCGGAGCGGGAAGCGGGCGGCGCTGCCTCCCGGCCGCTTGGCAAGCGCGGCCCCGCCGCAGCGCCGCGCCCGCGCCACCCCGCGCCGAAGACCGCGGGAGGAGCGGGGAGTGTGCGCGCGCCCGACCCCTCGGGGATCAGGCAGGGGGGACCCCCGAAGCCGCTCCCGGAGTCGTCGCAGCCCCGGGAAGGCTTCAGCGGCTCCCTTGCCTCCCCGCGCCGAACTCCCGGGAGCAGGTCCCACCGAGCGTCCCACGGGCCTGGGTCCCGGGCGAGTCTGACCGGCACCGACCGTTCTCGGGGAGCGGGAGCCCCTGCCACAGCCCAGCCCTGCGGGTGTCCTGTAGCCTTGGCACCCACCACGCCGGAGGCTTGCCGGTATATATGCTCCTTACACCACACATGTATAATCGTACGTATATATACACACACCCGTACATACCCAGATCTGTATCTATACTCCTCTTCTGTAGCCGATGGACCTGACCTAAACCATCATAGCTCTTAAATGCTGAAGTGGGATTTTCTATCCACAACATAAACTCTCTTTGTACATCCTCATTATTAGACGTCCAGGGTTTGTATCGGTATTAAAAATTCCAGGAGACTTGCAGTAACTTCGAGGTTTCCTTGTGACTGTGTGTGCTGCTATTCCAGAAAAATGGATGCACTGCTTCACAGCCTCAATGATGGGAGCTTTACACTTGCTACGTGTTCATCACATATATAATGTACTGCTTGCAGGTGCCTTTCGAGCCATGTGAAAGATGAAATGGGTGTTGTATGATGTTGTATGATGAAATGAGCCCCAGTTCCCGGGGATTCCTTGGGATGCATGCAGTATTTTGCAGCATGCACATATTACACGTGATAATATATGATTTCAATATATACTGCTGTGATCATACTTTGAAATAACACTGCAAACTTGGTTATTAAATTACCAGATCTAACGAGGTAATGCCCGTCTTTAAGGGAACATTATGGATCAATGAAGCATTTGTCTTTTCTCTATATCCATAAAAAAAGCCTATGAATTTAATCCCTCCACCGAAATCCGTATTGATTCTGTAGCTCATTGCCACAGAGGGTGGCTGCTGTATGTATGCCTAGTCCATGGTATGCACCATCTAAGTTGAAAATAGGTCCTTAGGAATTTCAGTTTACATTTTTTCCCACCTAACAAAACTAGAAATGTAGCCCCAGGGAGAATTTCTGTGTAAACAAGGAATAATTTTTCTAGTATCAATTGAGTAGCATTTTCTCAGGCAGTTCTTTGTAATTCCCCTCTTCAATATTCCCTTGAGACTTCCCAGGGTTTGGACTAGATGATCTTTAAAGGTCCCATTCAACCCAAACCAGTCTACGGTTCTATGGCTCTGTATGTGGTGCTTAGCTGTGTTCAAGTTTTACAGCAATGATTTATGATCTTAAATGCAGAGCCAATGACATACGTTGTTCCTCGTTGTTCCTTGGTGACTTCAATAAATATGAAGTTGTGAATGAATGTTGCTATCAGAACAGCTTTCTGGATGCTTAAAAATATCTGAGTAAAGTAGTATGAAGCGCCAGTAGTTTCTCATGATAATGTTCTTGCCTAGGAGCGTTTAAATCACATTTTCTACAGTGCTTTCATTTCTGGTACGAACTATTTATATCTCCATATAGGTGATGTGTAAAAATATGTGAGCTTTAAATAATTTTACAAAAGCGAGACATAGGAATATAAGCCTAGACTTTTGTGCAAATGGGAAAGAGCTGTGTGCTCTGGCCTCTTGCTCCAGCTCCCCAGTGAGCAGAAGCGTGCCTCGGTTCCTCTGACTAGTTCCATCTTCTCCACGAAGCCATATGCTGCAGATCTGCTTCTCAACAGCAAAGGCAGGAAGCGCTTAGGAATCGGGGGAGCAGAATAGCAAGAAAATGTTAAAGGAAAGCTTAAAGAAAAGAAAAGAATGGTAGAATCACAGAACATTTTGGGTTGGAAAGGAATCTTAGAGATCACCTAGTTCCACCCCCCTGCCATGGGCAACAACGCCACGAAAACGCCTTACTCGGCGAAGGGGCGAGCTGAGGAGTGCGGGTGTCACGCAATCCGGTGCCGCCCACGCCGCGCCGAGCCCACCTGCTCCTCCCGCCGTGTCACTGTCACTGCGGTGGGCGACCTCAGCCAAGGGCTGCTGTTCGGGCCACCGCCGCCGGAGGGCAGCACAGCTCCACACAAGCGGCCGGGGACAGCGCGGGGGGCTTGGGGAGCCGGGCAGCGCCCGGGGGGTCACGTACCGGGATGCTCCAACACTGATCGCGTAGGTTTTCGGGCTGGATCCCGGCAGGACGGTGGCTTTGGTCTGTGATAGCAGTTATTGCCAGCAATAGAGAGATCGCTACTTTGAAGGCAACAGTATTGTACATGTCTTCCGCTTCTTCAGGCACTCCTTTCTGATTCACATTCCCTCTGTTTGTAATCCTTATCCTCCTTGTCACGTTTGAAAGGCTATGTTGAATTTAGTATGTAAAACAAATACTTTTTATTGGGGTCAGGGAAATGCTTTGGTTGGTTGGTTGGTTGTTCTCTGTGCTGGTGTTTAGCAACAGCCAGCATGGCCATTCCATACTGTGATTTTTCTTCAGATTTGGTAGAAATTTTGTGTGGTCCCTCTCTGACATTTCTCCTCCCTACTTCATTAAGTAGTGTTGCTTATTTGTAGTGACGAATGTATTTGGGCTAGATCATTCTCTACGTGGTACTGAAACAATAGTGCAGGCAAATTGGGCTGTGATTTTTACTGTGGTACACACTTGGGAGCTCACTGGGAAATGCACACTCTGTGTTAGAAAATGGCTTGTTGTACCAGCAGCCAAAGGCATCTCTGTAATTAATCAAGTCATTCCTTCTTCCAAGAGAGCTACAGAAAACTCATGAACTGTATGAAGGTGTCAGAATTGAGCCAAGTAGGCTCTTCAAAGATATTCTCTTCTACCAAAACAATTCACTTCTGACATCTAGGTGGAGAGGACTGCCTGTTTTCTTGAAATCTGCCTTTGGCCTCCTAGCTAAGACTCCACAAAAGGCAGCACTTGGAATAGTGACTTGGGTGATACAAATCCTTTTCCGATAGAGAGCAGTCTGAATTCATCAGTCATTGAAGGAATCCGTAATCATCAGCTAATACTGACTCAGCCACTCTCAACATAGAAACTGGATCTGAACAAAAGGTGAAAGCCTTGTTTTCACTCCTTTCTTTAACAGTATCTGTAAAAACCACAGTCAAGAGGCTTTTACTCAGCCCTGGTGAGTGCTGGGTCCAGCTTTGGGCTCCCCCGTATGAGAGAGACACGGACATAGTGGAAAAAGTCGAGCAAAGGACTAAGAAGATTATTTAAGGACAGGAGCATCTCTTCTATGAGGAGGGGCAGAGAGAGCTGGGACTGTTCAGCTAGGAAAAGAAGATGCTCGGGGGGGAACTTATCTGTGTGTATTAATACCTGAAGGCAGAGGGCTGAAGAAGAGGGAGACAGACTCTGCTTAGTGATACCCACTAACAGTATGTAAGTCTTATGAGGAGCGGCTGAGGGAGCTGGGGTTGTTTAGCCTGGAGAAAAGGAGGCTCAGGGGAGACCTTATCGCTCTCTACAGTTACCTGTGGGCAGGTGGGGGTTGGTCTCTTCTCCCAGGCAACAAGTGACAGGGTGAGAGGTTCAGGTTGGACACCAGGAATAATTTCTACACAGAAAGGGTTGTTAAGCATTGGAACAGGTTGCCCAGGGAAGTGGTGGAGTCACCATCCCTGGAGGTGTTCAAGAAATGACAGGATGTGGCACTTAGTGCCATGGTCTAATTAACAAAGTTGTGATCAGTCAAAGGTTGGACTTGATATCTTGAAGGTCTTTTCCAGCCTAAGTAATTCTGTGAATCTGCAACAGGGCAAGGTACAGTGGGCACAAGTTAAAAAACATGACATTCCATCTGAACACAAGAAAACACATTTTTATTTTGAGAGTGGTCAAACACAGGAACAGGTTGCCCAAAGATGTTGTGAAGTCTCTGTCTGTGGAGACAAAACCTGAAGGTAAATGATCCTGGGAAACCCACTGTAACTGACCCTGCTTGAGCAGGATGTGGGCCTGGCTAATCTCCAGAGGTGCCCTCTAGCCTCAACCATCCTGTGATCCTGGAAGCTATGAAAACTGTGTTAACCTGTGAAACTCTCTGTTACTTTCCCCAAACTATTTCCCAATTGTATCTGATAGTGAAATGATACAAACAACCTTGCTGATGTGAGAAGTAATAAAGTCAGATAGACTTTGAGGCATTTGGTGTGTTTCTGAATGATGAACAGGGATATCGATAGCCTTTTTTCCCTTCATGTATGCCCACTCTGTAATGCCGTGGACACCATAAAACATGACCAGTGCACTGCATTTCACTTGTCTGATGGGCCACACTGCAGATAGAGCTGCATTTTGGACCTGGTGTTTTGATGGTTTGTTCTGTGCACCCCAGTGGCAATAGGGAGCTACTTAA